CAACAAAACATTTAATTTTATTATCATGCATTAAATTTTATTCTCCCTCCATAAATTATGAACATAAACCAATTAAGGGAGTTACAAAATTTTATTCAAATTCTAAGTCACGCCCACTCATGAAAATGACCGGGTGTATTAGCATAAAGAAAATGGTTGTAACGGCTATTTCATAGCAATTACTTGATCAAAATTAATTTTGAAAATTATTTCTTAATTTATATTTTTTTTCATGAATTAAATTATGATTTATTTTTATTTTTTCATATTTTCATGTTATTAAAAAATTTGTCTCTATGCAAATGCACAGGTTGATTGATTATACTAGTAAAAAATAAAGACCCTACCTATTTGGGACTTTGTTTAGTGCTTGTATAGTTCTATTATGTATGTTACCCGTTCACCCGGATCTTGTCTTCCTATGAAATCATTTCAATCTTGTTACTCAAAATCATCCACAGAATTTTCAATGTGTCTTTTGGTTCATTTGCGCCATAATAATTGTGGGCACAATAATGATCATCTAGTAAATGATTCCAGCTATTTATTATTTTGATCCAACCCAAAGTTCAATTTATTCACATCTATATTCCGTGATAACTTGAGAAAACAGTGTAACACAGTTTGTGAGTTGATTTAGTTCACTAAATGGCACTTGTTTGGCGTGAATTTATGTGCGTTTAGGATTTGTACCTCTTGATCATGATATAAAAGCACCCGTACATTTGCACGAAAAGAGATATAGTAGAAGAGACAATAATTAAAAATATAGAATAAAATAAAAATTATATCTTAATAAATGAGAAAAAAAATAATTAAAAAAAATGAATCTAAATATTATTAAACACTTCTTTATATACAACATTCGTGGTTTTTCTATCGTCAGAATCACATCACAACAAATTTAAACGCCTTTGACTCGTGACTCTGTAATTTGATTTTTTAAAATATTTGATGTATATTTGTACTATCCAGAAAAAATATATTTTTTTATTATTCTATGACTGCAATAGAAAATAAAGATATCTGTAGTCATTTTTAATTAATTGTGAAATATATATTTTTATAATACAAAAAGAAAAAAAAAAAAAAAAAAAATATTTTGTATTTCAGGACATAAAAATACGTTTTAGAAATGAGCACCATCCAAAATAGGATCTATCAAAATAAATTGTGTAACCGAAAGTTATATATTTTTTATTAAATGGTAGATATATTTTTATTTGATTAACACATATTTTTATTAAATGAACTCATATTATTATTAATTGATGGCTGAATAAAATTTATTGAAACTTGTCAACAATTATATATATATAGATTAAATTATAGAATGTGATCTTCAATTAAAAAAAAAATAAAATCAGATCATCCAAGATTGAAGTCGATAAAACATGAAAACGAAATTTCGCAAGTTGGAATTATGTAATATTTTATTATAATAAGTTTATATTATAACTATAATATGTGCAAAATTATCATTACACGTGTGATTGACATATAACATATTACATCAATGTACTTCTAATTTTAAATTATACGTGTTATCAAAGCATGTCATGATAGTTCGGGCAACTTGTACACAATGTGGTTGGATATCACATACGATAATTTCTAATAAAAAGTTACAAAAGAAAATATTTCCTAATAAAATTTCAATGGTAATTTTAATGAATATTTTAATGTTATAATGTCTGATGGAACTTTTAAATGGATTCCAATAGAAGTTGTAATAAAAATATTCCGTTGGAATGAAATTTTTCATTGAAAATTTTGTTGAATTTCGATGATTCTAACGGTAGATTTTCCAACTGCAGAAATATGGGTGGATATAAAAATTTCAATGAAAATTTATAGTAATAAACCGTTTGTAAAAATTACGGTTAGAATCGTCAAATTCTAACCGAAAATTTAATGAAAAACTCGCTTATCTCAACAGAATATTTTCGTTGAAATCATTCCTGTGGAAACTATACCATTAGAATATTCGTTGAAATATCCATTATAGTATATTATCCTTGAATTTTCGATTGGAATATGGCCATTTTATTGTAGTGATATATTCCCTCCTCTTTCATTTTTCTCAATCTTTTATTTTATGTATTCTATAGACTATAGTTTTTTAGGGCTGCACAATTTTATTACATATGCCTAGCCAACCGTAAAACTAAATATAATTAATAGTAATATATATAAGAAAAAGTGCCTTCTACAAAAATTAGTAAATCATCTATCCTAAAAGCTTCAATCTGGAGTTTTTCGAGAAAAAAAATATCTGAAACTGATTTTTTTTTTAATCAATCGTGTTGAATAGAGGAAATAAAACATTTAATTATGACTATATCTGCTATTATGATATTCAAATTCGACAGAGATAAAATTTGAATTAATTAGACTAGTTGATTCACCTCCATTTCGAATCTCATTTCTTTGAGTTCCAAAATAATTTGTTCGATAGTTCCGATTCAATCTTATTCCTTAATTCCAGTTGAGTTCCGAACATCACATTCAAAACTCAAAACTCCCTTTACCAAACACAACTACAACATATGTTACCCACAATTTTCCAGGATTGGCAATAAACACGACAAATTTCACAAATGCTCCAGGATGACACCATATATGTTACGTGTAAACATGTCATCTTTAATAATATTTCACTCACTTTATCTATTTAAAATTGACTAAATTATCTTCCCTTATATTTTCCTTCTTGTTAATATTTGAAAATTCGGTAATGGTTAGGATAGCTGTTAATGACTTGTTGTCAATTGTGTAATGGTGGCCGTACAACAACTCCAGCTGTGAATAGAAAATGATTTTGATTGTAAGTTGTAACTTGAACATGTGAAAAAGAGGGACAAATATAGAAACCAGAAAGGAACACATTAATTTTCTAATTGAAAATTAACATTTATAATTATGCTACAATAAAATCTGCCTCTACGAATAATGGATCTGGATTAAAATATATCTTCTGGAAAATATCAACGAAACTTATGACGTTAAAAATATCCGTTGAAATTCACATTAAAATATTTTACAATTGGAATATGATATTCGTTTTTTAGTATAGTTTCTAGTTTATTATCCATAAGATGTCCAGAGAGTACATAATATTTCAGAGCAAATATGATTTATAATAATTGCAATTATATCCCATGGCCATTACTCGTGAAGATATATGCGAATATCATATGATAGGACATTTGGCAGAACCTTCCTACAGCATCATATGTGAGTAGCAAAAGATAGATATAACATAGCGTCTTCGTTCAGTCAACCTCAAGATTCTCTCTAAATTAAAGTAATATGTGTGACACCATCTTTTTTCCAATTATTTTCAGGGCCACTTACAAATGAAACAGCCGAAAGGACCCGTTTGGTGACATTATTCAGACTCAAATCATGACAAATATTTATGGATTTTTAAGATAATCTTTTTATGTTTTCAGAACCTTCTTTCAATGTTCCTCTAAAAACATAAACGCGGTTTCTTTAAAATATTTTATGTGTTATGTGCTTTAGTTGGAAGCTTGCT